TCTTGCTCTACTGGCCTCACATCTCTGCTGCCAAACATTCTGTGGGCGGTCCAATTTTTCAGCGCTGAGATCCAGCCATAAAGGCACCGCATGAAGCCCAGTGATCAAAGAGAAAGCTCACTAACCAACAAGGTCCAGCTTTTGGCTTTTCTCCAGGACACTCCTCCCAGGACCCCTGATGTTGTTGTGAAAGTTATAACAGGAGTTTCTGTGTGTATTTGAGCCACTCTCTGTGAACGTGTATGAGTATAAGATCAAAGACATCATATAAGATTCATCACAACACTAGAAGCAGCTACTGGTAACAGAGGTGAGGTGAAGCCAGAGCGAGGCAGCAGAGTTTAGTGTTGTATCACATTTGGTTACACATAACTTACACATCTCAAACACAACATGTGATAAGTACAGCCAGAAATAAGAGCTAGGAAATAAAACATCCTCAATGAGTCAATGACTCATCATGATTTAAGTGTTTGACTATGATATATCAACGGATATTGGCCGCGTTGTGTTCTCCCCAAAAAACCACACCACATTGCACTCTGAAGGACACTAAGATCCAGACTTAGAATAAAACCCACAAGACTGTGATAGCAAACTGCAAAGCAAAGTGGACAACATGCAAAGTGTGTACAAAACAGGTTTGAATATAAATATAATCATGCACTTAAAACATGGCACAGCTGCCTTTTGTCAACTACTGATGACGGACTATCAGATAAAAAAGGCTCGGGCAATTTCAGAATATGATGGTCCCACTTTGCTGACTTACAACTGAATTCCAAGATGTAACCCTGAAGCTAAACAAGTCTTGTTTTCCTGGAGCCACATGTTCTTCTGAAACAAAAAGCACTGCTCCTCAAGTAGCAGCTGTCCAGGCCTTATTGTTCAACTGATAGATGTGGCGCTCTACCTTAGACAAAAAGCCATGTGTTCAGCCAATTCAAAGACTAATACACTGAAAGAACAGTGCAGACTGCTTAGGCCAATTGCATAACATCCAATAAATGGCTCTGAGAGGGGGACTTATTCTATACAGATAAGAAACAAATGCAAGTATGCTTCTGTATTTGCGGTATTAGTCATAGTTGAACATTTTGTTTTTCATGTATACAAAGTATGACAGAATCACAGCCTATGATCCTGGAGTTGTAGTGTTCATCCTTGCACCCTGCTTGAGAGTGCCCGAGGTCTCTCTAAAGTACAGTTCCTCTTACTGAAGGCTTCCTCTAGGCGTGACAAACCACATGATTACATAACGCTGCAACTACATGGTCCCTCAACCCTCAACTATCTGCTAATGTAGCCATGAGACTGTCAGCGGCCCCCTTCCCCCACCCTTCACAGCGCTCTCACATAGTTTACACACAGGCTGAACACTCAAGAGTCACACACACCAGTGTAGAATGCTTTAACACTCAGGCTACACCGTACACGCTCAGGAATACAAAAACACACTTTCACACACACTTGAAACAATGCTTGGCTGGCTTAAATATATGCCACATGACTAAGTCAACCACATAACAGTGTTGGCCTTTACTGCAGTGCTCCCACATGTGACACAAAACAGCAGCTCAGTCAGCAGACTATTGGGGAAGAGCAGACAGAAACAAACTTTGAATAGGCTAACTAATGTCAGACATTAACCTCGGCGATTGTCGCGATGCTAGTTGTACGGCGGCGTATTAGGGTGTTTTGTAGGTGTAACAACAATAAAAAATCAATACGGAGCAGAGGCATGGGGGTATTATTCCAAGCAAATACACAGCACGTCCGAGATGGAAAAATTAAACATTCACGAGAAAACTATTTTCTTGATTTGTTTTAGAACATTATGAGACATCCATTTACACATACATCATATTGTTATTCTTAGGACACCAAATGTTCCTGCTTTAAAATGACCAATATTGGATAAACAAAATACTCTTCAGCAGACAAATTAAATAGCCTGATGCCTGTGCTCATAATAAGCAAAGATGGCTGTGAATTAATAGGTTTGTTTTCTCAATCCTACTTTATGTAAAAAACTGACCTCCCACTCAAATCCCCCAAATGCTTAAACAGAAAACACACCTGTTCAGCTGGGTTATATACAGGGCTGCACATAACTGGTGCGCATGTGCGCCTCCGCCAAAAAAAGAGCACCGGGTCATTTGAAAAAAGGCGCATTTGCGTACCAACATTGAGAGAGAGAGAGGAGAGAGAGAAGAGAGAGAAGAGAGAGAAGGGAGAAGAGAAAAGAGGAGAAAGAAGAGAGGAGAGAGAGAAAGATATTTGCGAGTTGCATATGAACTCAGGGCCGGCCTGTAGCACTGGCGTTATAGATGTTCGCCTAGGGCGCCAGATCTGGGGGGAGCTGTGCTGGCAGTTCTGGGAGGGGAAAAACATTTTTTGACCGTTGGTGCTCATCCTAATTTTCGGCCTTGATGTAACAATATTCATAATTAAGTAAATGTAACACCCTTTTCACCCCGGTTACACGTTTCATTTGCCCTGTACGATGGACGCTGTAAGTGATGAAAATGGGGGATGTTGGCTTATCTGGCGCCCGCAGCTCACAGCCAACGTGCGAGGGAGCGAGGGAGGGTGCACCGGTTCCGGCGCAGTTGTTATTAGAATCTGGTGCTAGCTGCTCTAACGGATATAAGAAGAAGATGTTTCTCCAATGATGTGGAGGGAGAGTCCTCACCAGTCAGACTGAGAGGCTGATAACTACAGCTCAGTGAGGTAAAGGACTCTGAGTGTTTAGATAGTTCACTTTAGTCTAAGTTATCTCAGTGGGTCTCAAACGGTATGGTCACAATTTATGTAAACACATATTTCCAAGGCACTCCTTTATAATTATTGGGATAAACAGGTTTGAAATCATTCCAATGCATACTATAGGACAGTAACCAAAAATATCCTTTAAAACTGGATAGACAAAAAAAAATGCATAAATAAATAAATGTTAAGGTAAAATAAGATATGAATGAACAACAACAATAAAATAAGTTACATTCATTTGTTATTGGCTATGGTAGGTTATTGGTTATGTTCACATACTTATTTGATTACATCCACTTGTCTAAGATGACAACAGAGACTTTCGACCCAAAACAAGCTGTTGACTTGTGGATGCAAGCAGCTAATCGCAGACTCAACCAGAGAGAAAGAAGTAGGCCTACATCATCAGCTACCATGTCTGACATAGAGGAAGACAGTGAGGAGAACAGTCAGGAGGGTAGTGATGACAGCTTGTAGGAATACTGGTCGTGCTAATGTTGTCTTGAGTTCACCTCTGCATGTGTGTTCTGTGTTCACCTCTGCATGTGTGTTCAGTGCCGTGTGTCTGGCAAATAAACTCAAGACCCCCTCAAAAGTTACGGTTTATTTCATTTTAAGGATGAGCACCAAGCAACATCTCCAGGTACTCCTTTGAGAACCAGGGCAAAAAAGTTATGTGCACCCCTGGTTATATACAAACATAAGTAAGAATGCAACATCCCACAGTACAACCTTAGGTTTCCCTATCCTTGGCATCACTGCATTTAGAAAACCTATCTTGCTCCAACCAGAAGAAGCAGAGATTTGGGGTATATCCTCCACTGATAGCAGCTTTAGGGCAGTTTAGATTGGCTACCATTTGATGCCTCCCAGAGGATTTAAGGTTGACACTGCCTCAGTCATTCTGATTTCCCTCAGCCAGGTTACACTGACCTACACACTGACACACACACACACACACACACAATCAATAATTATACCAGGGATATTGGGATTTATTGTCAACGGGCGGTCAACATTTCCAAAAACAGTGATAATTGATTAAACCATTAAATAATTTATGAAGGGAAAAGTTTAAAACAGTTGCTGATTTTTATAGAAGAATTTACTGCATTTTTCTATAACATGCCAATTAAAATTGGATTTCTGGACAGCTGATGGGTTCTGAACAAAATAAAGGGTCTCTGGGAATTCATCAATTACAAATAGACAAAAACAATCAGTCAAGCCACTTGTGGGATTCAAACAAACTGCAGTCCACTCTCTCTAATCTATCGATATACTGCCATGTATTTTGTTGTAACCAATTTTCTTTTAATCAAGGAAGCTACAAGATCAGATAATCTATGCATTTTAATTACGCCATGCAGCTAAACAGTTGGGATATCCAGTAACTTGAATAGATTTTGGAGCAGCAGAGCTCGAACTGGGCCCAAAGGTGGAGGGGACGTGATGACACTGACATAACAACAAGAGGATATCAAACCGCCCTCATTTCCACATCAAAGGAGAAATGACTCATCATAAACCTCTCTGAAAAAGGCGTTCTTCTTTCAAAAACCTGTGGTTAATTGTAACTTGCACTTCATACAAATTTGTTTGCATTTGAGATTGTAAACACAGAAGATCAGTGTTGAGTAACTACCAGAAGGCAACCTTGAATCAACATCGAGAGTGCGCACCGGCCTTCCAGCAGTAGACATACTTTCATTTCCTTTCTTTCCTCCTTTAGCAAGTTTGAAGCTTTAGTGATGAAATCTGCTGCTGCCAAGGCAGAGTTTAATATGCATTTAAGTGGCAGGATTAAGAAATGCCATTGATCTGCATAAGCACTTCTTCTGGCAGTGAAATTAATACGCTCTAGCTATTCTCTTCATGAATAATACGCATGGCTAATTCAATTAACAAGCAATATCTCAGCTAATGTTTAAAAAGGTAGAAAAACGAAATAATTAAAACCTCAAATTCTGGTGAAACAATTATTCACTTTCAGCGTAGATCTAATCGATTTAAAAAGGGATTGACCTAAAGCCCAGCAGTAAACTGATTTAGCATGTCATTCGATTGGCAGGGGAAAGGAAAACATGCTCATCAGTGGGAACATTAGTGGGACATTAAAGGAGACATGCTGAAATGTGAACTTGGGTCGCAGCAACAAAACCCACACATAGTACACAAACACTGTAAAGCCCTTTCAACAGAAACAAAGCAAAGGTTTGTCCTCTGACCTGAGATGCAGATGAAGGTCATGTAGTCTCCCTGACCACCTGTGGCCAGGAAGGGGATCTTCTTCTTGGTCCTCCTCTTCACCTGCGCAGCAACAAGCATCTTCTCATCGTGGGGTATGAAGACCTCCTTGTTTATGGCCGACTTGACGCTCATCGCTGAAGAAGGTAGGAGTGAACAGCTGGAGAATAGTTTGAGTGGAGAAAACGAGATCCACACTTCCTGAAGAGCAGAAGAGAACAGCAAGTTAAATTAGCAAAATATGTTGGACCAGGCTTACTATATATAAAATGCAGATCTAGAATTTCCTACTAAAATTCTACACAATGACTTACATTACTTGCATCTATTTTTAAAAGTTTTGAGATATAGAACTTTTTTATCCAATGAAATAGTCTATGAAAACGGTTGGCCGTATGTTTTGGGTATTAATAAATGAACAAGGTAATGACTGATAGGGAATTACATGTAACATTGTGCGTGTGTGTCCCATTTCCAACTTTAAAAAAGCAGCACAAATAGCCTTAATTGATCATATAGGTTTCACAATCTTGTTTGTATTATTACTATTTGTCTCCATTGGCATTACTGTGATTGGCACAGCTGTTTCAGGGCAGTGAGAGCAGTCACGTGACTGCTGGAAAGGATATATATTAATCAACAAACCCATTGACCTCTACTGCACTTCAGCAAGCCCTTTTGCACTTACTGCTGCTGCTGCATAACATGAAGCAAACATCAGAGGCACTTGGAGAGTCACCTTGTCTGTGCTCCTAAAGCTAACTGCTTTACACTTGCATGTCAAAAAAAAAGCCCCACACTATATGCACTTGCAACCCCTCATCACAGGTTGTTTGTCTGAGTAGTGAGCAGTTTACGGCCAGCTGATAAAGACACACAGGATTTTGATAGCAAATATTAACAGCAGGAAAAAAACTAAATAAAAAGCTGTTGAACTGTAAAGCTTGATTCTGTGTTCACATCCTCAGGCCAGTCACTCCCTTACGGCACGTCCACACGGTTCCGTCACGTTGAAGCTTGCCGGTGGGCGTGTCTGGCGCGCGACCAACAACCAATCACATTCATCTCCAGCCCCGGACACACAAGCACACGGTTTGATTGGCTAATGCTTGTACTGGCATATAATTTGATTGGCTGGCGCTTCCGTTGACGCTTGAAAAGTTCAACTTTCGAAGCGAGCAACGGAGGCAAAGCGACGCGACAGAACCACAATGCAGTTCGGCAAAGTTTGACATCACCCCATTCAAAGTGAATGGGGTGATGTCAACGTCTCCGTTGACGCACGCAACGGAACCGTGTGTAGACGTACTGTTGGACTCCAAAACGACATACAATCTACATTTTACACTATACTGCTCACAGTGTACATCACAATGAAGTAATGAGTTTAAGGGTTCCAAAACGTAGATTCTCTGTGTTGCAGCCAGTCTCTACGCTCTCTCTCTTTAAATGTTTTGCCAATGTTCTTAGTGGAAGTACAGGCCCTCGCAGAGATGAAATGTCTCGAGCTGAAGCTGTTAAGAGTACTGGTAAGTCTTACTGATACAGAACAGCAATCATGTTTCTATTATTACAAGCCAATGTCTTCTAGGAATTGTATTTTGTTTGTGGCTGGGAATAAACCTCAAGAGACACAGAAGTATGTCTGATGTAGCAGGGAAAACTGGGCTCGAATGCACAACAGCCAAAAAGAAGTGGGTGAATTGGTTACAAATGCTCTCCTGAGGACCATGGAGCTTAATTACATGACATGAGCTTAATCATTCTCTCGGCTCACAACCACATCCTGCTCAGCCCACCCTGATGAAGCGATCCGATTAGTCAGTCTCAACCAGTCGATGAATTACTCTACTGCAGGCAAAGCCAGTCAGACATCAGAGAAATGCCTTCATTGAACTGGCTGGCTAATAAATGGCAGATGAGGAACAAACACCAAGTTGTTTTCTAAAAGTGAAACAAGTTTTAGACTGAGTGCTCAGCAGTTTAGGAGTCACAGTTTAATTAACTTAAAAGCACAACTTGCAGCAAGTTTACATGGACAGTAATAAAGTGCATGAGCCAACTTCTCCACCCCCTTTACTAGCTGCTGAAAGGCTGCCATTGTTGACTAGTGGTCATTGTTAAAGGAGGATTACGTCAGGTCAGAAGGAAGAATTCAACAGCAGTGAAAGCTTTAGATACAATGCCAGGGCTACAATATAATGCAATAACACTTTTATCGTTTCATTTTTGTTGAGTGTGTCAACTGTATGGTGATTTCTGAGACAGCATTTTGTGGCAGCTTTAAACTGAACGGCATTTCAGGCAAAGGTAATGTGTACAGGTGGCACTAGTAGTAGTAGTTAAGTATTCACCTTTCTGACAGTCAAAATTGAAAAGCAGTCCAACATCCCAACCATTTTTGCTAGGGAAAGCTTCAATTATAGCTGTGACAACAAGCACAGAGTAGTTTTGCAAACTACCTTCTTTCAAAAGCAAGAAAGCTTTTTCAAGCTGAGCCTCTTGAGCGAGCCAGGCATCGTGTAAAAACGGTGCCTCGAGTTGTTTGTGCATGTCGTTCTGAGCTCTGATAAAGACTGCAAGACTACTGTACCAGTCTAACTTCAAAATGCACAAACAGTACAGCACTGAAAAGACTTGGACATCATGTCCTGTGAATAAATCATATTCGGAGGTCAGCTCTGAACGTATCCAGCATTAATGTCTTCAACAAGGACGGAGGTTTGAACTCTTATGTGTATCAATTCTGTCAGGGCTTTGACACAGTTTGTAACCAGCAACAAATTACTTAAAGGTCACCTATTATGCAAAATCCACTTTTTCATGTCTTTTATACATAAACATCTGTGTAAAGAGATTCTGGAAGTTTCAGGAAAAAAGACCCCTCACTTTTTGTCCTGATCCATTTATATAAAAACCTGTCTGAAAATGAGCTGATCAGATTTTGGCCACTTTATGATGTCATAACGATTGTTTTGGCTTGTGTAACCATTAGCCAATAACCAACCAAGGTAACACCTTATCACCTGAATCTCCTCCTAGAGCACCATTGTGTTCTTTTTAACCAAATATCTCTCATACCTCATACCTCATTCACACCAACGGTGTTTCAGGGCCGGTTCGGAGCTGGAGCTTGAAAAGCACCGGGTCTTCCTGTTCACACCGCAGCGGAGCCGCCTCTTAGCACCGGAATCCGGTTCGTTTCAAGCACCAAAACATTGTCCGGCTAGAGCAAAAGCACCACATACGTCACGCTTACGTCGAGGCGGGGGCAGGGGGAATCGGAATCGTCGTTGAAGTTGATGATTGCGATTGTAAAGCAGTTTTGAATGTAGCATGTAACGACTGTAAAGTTGGTAGTAAAGTCATCCCATTTCTTTCATTTCGTTTCGACAGAGCAAAACCAAAACGAGTAGTGCTTCAACACAATCGGCCATTGTTGTTGTCGGTGTGAGCTGCGAGCTTTCTGCGCGGTTTGACTTTATGAAGCAGGCACGCAAACGGTTACGTCATGACGCAAACAATGACGCAATGACGCAGCACCAGACGGGCTCTGGGCGGTGTGAAAAGAGCCTCAGAGGGGCGTGGGGAGTGGCTCTCCTTCTCTTCTCAGTTATTGGGATAATGAATAAGAAAAGAACATTAAGGTGAAATCTTGAAAAATCTACTCGTCTTATTTTCCTCGAACAAATGACACTAGTAGACTTCCTCTCTGTGGAAGCCCTTATCCGTAACATGCCTCCCTCATCTCGTCTTTCCTCCAGCTGAGAAAGAGGGTTGCCCACATCTCCATGCAAGCTGTCACCAGGCAAAGGGTAGCGCCTACCCCCCTAAGGTGGCCAGCTGAAGCATGACGGGAAGGAGGGATAAGGGAATGGGGGATGCGAGGAAGAAAACAAGGAGGATGATGAAGAGGAGGAGGAGACAGAGGGGAGCCTGGAGGCAGGGAAATGTAGCCAGTGACAATGCATAGCTTATGGTTTGACTCGAGCAGTCTTATGCAATGCTCGCAAAGCAGGGCCACGTTAATGTACTGGAGCGGCTGTGGCAGTAACGACGTACATATATTTGACGGCTGCTTATCACCCCATTTCCAAACACGGCCCTTTTCCAGAACACTTCATTACTTGTGGCCGTGTATTGCCAAGCCGCACTGCTGCCTGGCTGCGCTCTTGCCCAGTGTGTTTATGTGAAATCTGTTCAGTCTGCGCTCACAGCTCTCATAGGACCTTTATTGGGTTTTTGTGTTAACTTATTTTAGCATCAGTCCTGCTCTCAGCCTGTGCTCACGAGCCCATAGGAACCTGCCACTGTAGCAGGAGTTGCAGAAGAGAGGGGCTCAAAAGACAGGTGGATGTCACAGGCCTCCTGACACTGAATGGAAGGTGTATCTTTACAAATATACAAACTCAAATTCAACCCACCAGGCTTTAGAAATACATGTAGGGAGGAACCGCCAAGTACCGGTACATTTACTTTTCTTCATATACTTTTATTCAGCTTGCGTGAGAATTAAAGACAATAAAAATGGATCACATAGATATGAAAAATATAGCTGCAGTATGTGCATGGACTCTTGACTAAGACAAACTGAAAGACATCTAAAGGTACTGCGATATTGGTTGGGATGGGTTGAGCAAACAAACGTCAGTTAGGGTTAGGGAATGTGTACACATGCATCAGAAATAGTGATAAGCATGGGAAAACACACATGTGCCTTATCTTTACTTATTAGCAGGGGTGCACATAACTTTGTTGCCCTGGTTCGCAAAGGAGCACCTGGAGATGTTGCTTGGTGCGCATCCTTAAAATGAAATAAACCGGACCTTTTGAGGGGTACTTGACTTTATGAACGGGGGGGGGGGGGACTGCGCTAGTGAGCACGCTCATGAACTGTTCGCCCGTGCCTCGCAGTGGGGTTATATGTGCGGAGCAACATAAAGCAGACCCTTCACGCGGATAGCGAGGGGTTTAGAGCGAGGGATCGCAGATGCCGTTGTGCTCGCGGACGGATTAAAAAAATTAAACCTAAAAGGCTCGCGAATTATACTTTGGCAGCCGTTAATATACCTGGGCGGCCCGCCCAAGTAAAATGTATGTGTGGGAAGTAGTAAATCAATGAAGAACAAATTCTTAGCAGGAAACCCTGCTACCTTACCAGTTCTTATGCAACTCGCATCTCTCTCTCTCTCTATTGCATA